CAGTACATTGTACATGGAAGAGTGTCCATTGTCTCCTCGTAATTCTGATTGCAGAGTTGTTCCATCTTGTTTCATGTCCTCCCCATAATTCTGGGGGCAAGGGGAATTTACCTTGCCCACCCAGTTGAGAAGTAAGGATGAGTGGTTATAATTCCAAATTGGATGAGTTCTGATTTCTCAGGTTGAGTATGGCATACAGGATCCCGTCATTCCGAGTTTGTCTTTCAGACTTCTTGAGGTTGAGGAGAGGGTTTGTCCACTTCAGTGTTGCTTATCTTTTTGTCATGATTCTGGTGGCTTGGACTGCATCACTTGATAGGTTGGGATCCACTCACAAGTAGATGTGTATGTATATATATATATATGTTGTGGTCCAAATACCTTAGCCATCAATGTGGGATTTAGGACTTTGGCCCTATAATTCCAATCCCAAGTAGTGAAAACTTGTCTATCTGGTGTGGGCCTGGTCAGTTGTGATGATGGATCATGTGAAATGCACCCACAGTGCATGAATTAGTTTATGGGTGAAAAGCATACCTGTTCGGGATGTAGTGTGGTTCCCCAACTAGGGTGGAGGTAAGTATGTTTTGGAAGTTACCATTTTCTTAAGTTGAAAATTTATTTCAGTAGTACTTGCATCTGCTCACACTCTCCCACTGTTCGTCCCCACTAAGAGCCAGATGAAGTCAGTCTCAAAAAAAGTGATAATATTATCTGAATGAGGTTCTTATATAGAGGATAGAGGGCACATTGACTTAGACGGAGAGTGTCACGAGACAGAGATTGCTAAGGGCAGTTAAGTGGGGATTAAAAGACTGGAGCAAGTGAGAAAAAAATCAGACCAATTCTTAGATGGGCAAAAGAAAGAAACCCTAGCAGTCGAGTAATAGCTGTAGTGTGAGAAGAGGTAAGTATTATTGGAAATACATTTTGGATTTAAGAAAATGTTAACTTACTTTTTTGAACAAAACATTTTTTTTCTCTCTCTTTTTTTTCTCCTAAACATATTAACATTAGTCTTAACTAATGATGGTACTTGAAATTAATTTTTAGGTTTCAATTTTGTGACTGAATGTTTATTATAAATCTTAGGCTTATTTGTTTTGGGTGCTTCATCTTCTTTCGGCATTTAAAGTGCAATTTTAGGTTATATGGTGCAATTAAAAAAATATGTACTGGCTGCTTTTAACTCTTATTATAAATAAAACAAACTAAACGATCATGAAATATGAACTCATAAAATAATTAATTAATACTACCTATGCTAAACAGTCTTTTATATCTGACAGGTTTTTACTCTCTTTTTTTTAATATTCATAGAACATGTGGTTGATACAGTTCAGTAAGCTTTGTGTTAAAATTCTTCATCTGTGATAATTTTTTATAAAAAGCATGATCTGTAAAAATCAGAAATTTTAGAAAATGTCTCATTAAAGGCTTCTTCAGGCTTAAGAATGTGTAATTGACTTAGTCTTAAGTTTGCAATTTCAACAATAAAAATATTTCCTAACCAGTTGTCTGTGTAAATATATCTGCTCAGGTAATTTTCTGTTTACCCAATAATATAAAATCAGTAAAAAGAGCAATATCATTCATTTATTTGTTATTGGACTGTTGAAATTTAACATTTATTTCCTTATATCTTGTAATTCCCATTAAGTAATGTAAGCTGAATTTTGTAATTTAGTACAGTATGAAAAATGAAATGAAAATGTATGTTTTTCTTTTTGAAGTGTGAATATTTGTATCAAATATTTACACAGTGAAAAAACTTTAATGTGTACACAAAAAGAGGTTTGCAGCATACATAAGTATCTCCATAAGTTTTAATAAATCCCAGTTACTAGTCCATTTTGATAATATCTGCAATTTCATCTTTCTTGTTTGCAGTTATATTGTAAATGAATCATTGTTAAAATCATCAACATAAATGTGTATTTCATTGTTTCATTCAGGTGCTTCATCACTATTTTAGATACATATAGTGTGAAGAACACAACATGCAACAGTTACTTGACTGGCCTATTCTTTCTTGACCATGTCTAAATATTTCAGTCTTCTAAAACTTCCCTTCAGTATCCAAATGCTTGTTCAATAGCTACATATTTGGAGCCTAAGGCATAGTTAAGAATGTATTTTGTACATTTTATAAAGGTGACCATTATTCTTATAACATAACATTAGGAGTATTGACAGGGGATGAGCAGCATCCCCAATCAGATGTGTGTTTGTCTTTAAAATTTAACTTCCATTATGCTGCAGTTTTTGGTAAAGAGGGCTTCTTTTTCATACTTTGGCATCTTCAGAAGAACTTTGCCATCCTGCCAAAACATCAGTAAACCCTTTCTTTGCATCACATACAGCCTGTAAAATCACTGATAGGTGAACTTTTTGGTTATAATAACTTCATCTATCCTCTGTAGGTGCCTTAACTGCAATGTATCAGTGGCTCCATCATCATTGGTAAATTTCATTTATCCAAGTATGTTGATCACAAAATGACTAATAATTAGCTAAAAGCCAAAGAGTCAACATCATTTCTGTTTCAGATTATATTTTTGATCTTCCTGTATGCATTATGTAAGTGGAAATCAGTTCTTCTTCTCTCTACAAGTGTATTACATGCTATAAAAAATAAGTACCCATAAGTTCAGTATAGTATAAATACTTTTATAAACAGATAGCTTATATCATCTTCATCCCAATACCATGTATTTAATGAAAAACTTACAAATGGCACTAAGGATGTTATCTTACCAATATTTCAAAGTAAGGTAAATAATTATCGGTACATGAAATTTCAAAATATAGAGATGTTTTATGAACATAAGATGCTTGTTAATCACACAGATACTCTAATTGTTCTAAGTATTACAGAAAAATATATATAGTTGTAGTTCTTTAGAAATTATTAATTACTGATTAATAATTATGATTAACTTCATTGTAAGACATTTGTATTCCATTTGATGTCAAGATAAACATGCTACACTAGTATGTGTATTTGTATTATCTAACCTTCAAAATCCAGAATGAAATACGTTAATTAATTCTTGGTTTTAATCTGTAATTAGACCAAGGTGTATCTTATTATTATATAGTAATATTTACAAATTTAATTTGCAAATTAAAGTGTGTTTTTTACAATTCAAAGTTACAAGTATAATAGTAATCAATGTAATGTTTTACCTCTACTAAGTTAAAAGTGTTTCTTGAAGATAACATCTGAATATATGTGCACTACAGAGAGAGTTTTGAACAGCCACTCTTGCTTCACAATTTTCATGAGTTAAATAACTTGCAGCTAAAACACTGTAAAATTCTTCATCCTGTTTAGCATTATTTTCTCTAGAAGCAGATATCATTAAACCAATTCCATTTTCACTTAATATGAAATCCATAACTGGGCTAAAAGTTATACCATTAACTTGTTCCTTTTGTCTGATGTCCATCTTAAAACTGTCAACAAATTCAACAAAGTGTTCCAAATTTACAGTCAGAGTTGATACAACAGTGACATCATGGTAGTATCATTGAATTTTGGAATGTGCCCAAAGTATTGAATTACATAATTCATGTGCAATTTGTGTACATACCTTGCAGAGAAATATTTTGTTTTTATTTTTTTCATTTGTGTTCTCTAATCTAACCTAATAATTTTCTAATATTGACATTTTTAGTTACTTTTATAACAATGACTAAAAATTACCTAAAAAAAGAAATTTACTACTGAGCATGGGTTTTGTACTTTTTTGCAGTTGAAAACTTGAAGTGTCGATAAAACTGAACTTTGATTTTTGCTAGTGCTGCTTTTAATACTTTATTCAATTTTTATTTATTTCAAATATTCAGCTTAGGACACAAAATAATAACATGATCAAAGCATACAATGTCCTATAACTATTATAATCTAATTTCATTGGCTTTCTAGCTAGGTTATAATTCTATCAAATACTTTCCTTACCACTTTCAAAATGAACTTGGTGACAGCACCTTTGGATCTGTGGGCTGAATAATTCAAGAGTTGTCTGAATGAACTAATATTATACATAATTCAGTAAATTAAAGTTCTTTTTCTATTGATTGTAAATAATGTAATGGCAAACATCAAACAGAATTACATTTTTTGGTGGATAGGATATGACAGGAGGGCATGGCATGTGGGTTTGACTGTCTGTTCTATATTTTTATATGTCAAAATGATTGGTGGATATAAAATTAAATCATGTCTCAGCAGTATTTATACTATAAGTTTGTAATTTATATTATAAACTCAGAATTTGAAATAGGGTGGAAAAAATGTTTAAGTGGGCAATTGCTGCCGTTTAATGTTATGTCAGAAGTGAAGATTTAGAATTTATTTAAATATTTCCTTTTATCATTAAGAAATTAAATTTGATTTATTAACTAATTTTTGGTGAAAAGTTTATTGATATACTTTATTAATAAACTAATTTAATTAAGTTTTGATTGTAACTCTGTAAAATATCATGACATTCTAACTTTTACCTACCTATATCCAGAGGGTTTATTTAAATTTCGAATGTAACTCTGTAAAAGGTCATGAAATGCTCACATTTACCTACCTTTATCCAAAGTGTTGATACAGTTAGGTTTAGCTCATTGATTCATTTTTCACTTCTATCAAGTAATGCTACTCCCATTTCAGTGTCTGCTGCTGAAAGTATTGTAGTTTGTGTATGTAATATTTTTTCTTGCATATTTGTCTTCATTAAGTTTATATTTTGATAATTTTAAGTCTCTGAGTTTTATTTTCAAATGCTGATTGTCACATTTCAGTTTCTTTTCCAGTTATTAAATTATGTCTGTAGTTTAGACACACATATAAATAAACATAGTTTTGAGGTGTTCATGAAATACTTTCTTACTCACATTCATTGCAAAGTTGTAAACAGAACTTTTTCTTTACAGTGTAAATATGTGTGTAATATTTCTTGAGGTAAAGAAAATTATTCACCCTGTCTATTGTACTTTTATAGATAGTCAAGACAAGAGGAGAGAGGAGTTATATGAAGGTAAGTACTTTGTATTACGATATCTTGGAACTATCAAACTGAACAAGTGAATGTCTCCAATATTTATTTCGTAGTGACAGTTAAAAGGTTTGAAAAAATTTATATTTTCCTGGTGATAATCAGTAATGCATGTATTACCAAGACAGTTATTGTTACATATTTTTAGAACTAAAATTTATTTCAAATAAATATCTATAAATGCCTGGTAAGCTTTCTTTGATATCTTGAATTTTGTTGTGAGACTTCATCCCTTTATTCTTGTGTTATGTTATGCCGTATTCAGATGTTTGGTATTAGGAATCCCATGCTCTATGAGACATTCTGTCTATTCATTAGTCTTATTACATGTATATTTTACATATTGGTGAATTTTTTGTGTTTGAGACCAAACTGGATGAAATGAGTGAGAATACATTTGGAGGTATCTTTTTCCAATTAGAGTAATTAACTGTCATGGTTGTTGCAACTATAGTTCAACATGTTATGGATTGCAATATGCTTAATGTCTCATTGACTGAATTTCTTTTTCATTAGTCTATTAGACAATAACCTTCATCTTGATTTCCTTTGGGTAATGCTTTACCATTCATGAAATGACCTTAACCATTGATTCTCTTTCTGGATTTTATTCTCAAGTGTACTTCTTTCAATTTATTTTGCCTGTATGATGGTATAGTAGAGGTGAGCATGGATATTCATGACATGTGCTCTCCTTTCACATATAGTGTCAGTCTAAAGAGTCTGACAGTAGAGTTGAGGTGAGCACACAAGGTACAGTAAATGTTCACTAACCAGACTACATGTATTGGCTGTCCAACAACTTGTGTGTAAGTACTCAGACAGTTATGTTCTAATTCTGCCTGTCCCTGTGACACAAAATTGGTTTCTTTGTTTCTTCCATTTTCCCATATTGGTGAAGGGTATACCCTGGATGAGACAAGTTGTGGGCTGTCACGTATGTGCCCTTATGGAATCCCTGCCATCACATGTCTCACCCCATAAGCATCCTTTGGATGCTTTCTGTAGGGTGCTCATCCAGATAAGCTTTGCACTGGTCCCTCCATCATACCAGTGTGGGACTATAGCTAATCTGTGTGTGAAGGACATTTATTGTCACAGAAGTTAATATTTTCCTTACCTGAAACTGTATTTTTGATAGATACCTTTTTTCACATTCTGACCCATCCTAACAACTTCTGATACATATTTTCTTACATGCCTCATCAAAGAATGAAGATTCACGAGAGCAAATGCATAGAGAGAGTTAGTGCACATAGAGGTGTGTCATCCTCCTATTGATGGAGGGCTTTTGTCTCATGATGACATAATCATGCTGTGGTGTGATTCATGTAAAATCACATGGAATTAGGTTGGAGTTGTGTCTAAGCTAGCAGCATGCAAGTCTCTTTGGCAGATGCACTGAGAAAAATAGTTAATCTGTGAACAAAAGTGAGTATCTATCAAAAATACATTTTCATTTAATAAAATGTTAACTTCTCACAGTGGAAATACTTTTCCAAATTATATACAACTTGGAACAAACTTACGAAGTTTTATCTAGTTTTGACTTTAAAAAGTTATATAATTTTATATCTCATGAAATTTCCAGAATATTAAGAAATTTTTTTAGAAATAAATATTAAAATCCTGTTTTTCAGTTTTGAATTTCAATTTTTTATTGTTGATCAGAAAATTTCCAGTCAGTATCCAGTCAATTTCAAGTTGACTGTTTTTCATTAAGTTTGTTTTGCCAATTGCAATAGTCACTACTTCTGTCCATAAATTGTAAAAACACTACATAAAATGACAACAATTTATTGGCAATCTAGGACTTGACTTTTCAAAATGGCATCAGGTTAAGCTAGGTAACAGTATTTTTACTAACAATATTCTTACTCAAGATCTATTTATACCTAATAAATATAGTTCCTTTTCAATAAATGATAAATTATATTTATGTGCATAGTTTGAGTATGATAAACTTAACAATAATATTCAATTAATAATGAGTTATCAGAATATTTTGTCATCACCTACCATGTTCGATAAACCTTACTTAATCTACTTTCTTAGAAGAAAATCTCATAAGATTTCAAACATAAAAATATTTTTGGGAACAAAAATACCATATAAATATACTATAAAAATTTTCCATATCTGTTGTTTGTTTCTAAGTTTTCTAGACTTCTTTTGGATTCCATTGTTCTTTTTCTCAAGATTTAGGCATGTCAGTTTCAGTGAAACTGTAAAGTACTAGTCATGCCACTTTATTCACTCTACATTGACATAACTAGTTTATAACGTGTTCTAATGAAGATAAGATGTGTGTCATTAGTCACATGCTGTGAGACCATAAAAGTGGTGGGAAAGAGAGGCTGTACTAACAAAATCAGTGAAAGAGAAGGAAAATCAAATTGGAAATAAAGCATAGATAATATTAATATTCTCAATGGATGATATTTTCTCAGCAAATATAAAACCTATGCTTTGGGATGAGCAGAAAGTTTCTGGTAATATCCATATGCATACTGTGAATTACACTAAATAAATGTTACAAAATATTATTTGTAAAATATTTTAAAAATAAAGTTAGGATTATTTTTACCTAGATTTCAAAATTTGATACTCATATTTGCACTTGACACTTGAAAGGTGCTTTATGATTGTAATAAGGTTAATGTTGTGGTTACATACTATAGTGGTCATTAAAGAAAGCTTGTGCTTTCTTGGTAAAAGGTGGGGCAGAAGTTTGTATGGCTACGAGTTAGGAGTTGAATGTGTGAAGGAAAGGATTGCTGGCATACAGGGCTAGGTTTAGCAAGTGCAAGGTCTGGCCAAAACAGAAGTTATAGATAATCTTTATTTCAGTTGAATTCAATATGGCAAACTGACTTCACCTTAGGCTTATCTCAGTGTAAATATGAGCTATTAATGCCCTCTAACAAAAAAAAAAAAATTATAAAAGCAAAGCTTGAGGCCCAAGGCAGCTGCCTTGCCCAAAAGCCAGCCCTGCTGGCATAGGCAATCTGAGATAAAAGGTTTACTGCACCATGACTTTGCTCTGTGTTGAAAGTATGATATAGATACAACCCTTTTAATCTACAAAATTCATGAATAATGTTGTGCAACGTTCACACACTCATATGGGATCACACAAATGTGTATCTTTAGACACATATATTACCATGTACATTTATATCTATACAACTTGTAATAGCTTTAAACAGACTGCCTCCAGCTTCTGCTCACGCTATTTCATAACCATTTCAGGTTACTTTCCACAGCTAGTAATTGGTAGCTGTGATCTTGTAAAGTGGTGCCACTGGTGAACCATCATACTTTTTTCTTTTCAACCATCAAGTAATAAATAATCCCCAACAGAATTCAGCTAGATTAAGACTGTTTAGCTAAAACTATCATAAGTTATATTTAATATTTGTTCTTTTATTAAAGTATATATCAACATACACTGTGATGAAACAAATCCTTCACTGCTGTTGGAGATGTTGTATGCCTCTCAGGTGTATTGGAAAAGATCTAGCAAGGGTTATGTAGTATTCTTTGTAAAGTTGAATGATTCTTGCAAAAAACATCAGACATTTTTCCTCGATAAAATAACGTGGTAGCATGGAAAGCAAGAGTTGCAAAGCCCTTTCATCTGAGTTTTCGAACTCAAATTATAATCTTCAAATGTGCAAACTGTTGATACACTAGGTATTACATGTACTGGCACCAGCTACCCTAACTTGTGTTTATTAACTCTCAGTTTACAGGAGTGTACCCAATTATCCTCTCATGTAACTAACAAAATGACATGAGTATAAAAAGAATACTTTTTTCCAACTTATAGGTTTCAAATTTCATTTACATAACCCTAGAACCTCCAAAGTGAATATCAAAAGTTCTTTTTAATATTAGTTAAATGATTATATATATATATATATATATATATATATATATATAT